GTTGGTTGACTTTACCTGCTAAGGCCGTGGTGGCGAACCTATGGCATACGTGCCACAGGTGGCACGCAGAGCCCTCTCTGTGGGCACGCGCACCATTGCCCCAGTCCTAGGCCTTCAGCTGGGTTTTATAAAACCTTTTCGCTTTAGGCTTCCGCCGCTGTGCGCAAAAACAAAAGATTCAATCAATCAATTTCAACTTCTCGCAGGAAAAAAAAGATCTCGCAAAGTTCGAATTGATTGAACTTTTTAGTCCCGCCTAGTCTGCCGTTACCACCCAAGCCATGCCCACCCAATGGGCCACACCCACCCAATGGGCCACACCCACCCAATGGGCCACACCCATCCGGCACCCGATGATACACAAGTGGGTTTTGGGTCGCAGTTTGGGCACTCGGTCTCTAAAAGGTTCGCCATCACTGTGCTAAGGCATCAGTCATGGTTTACTAAATATAATGGCAATTTTTATAAACAATCTAAGCTAAAATTAAACCACATTGTGGCTCAGTGTTGAATTAATCAGCCATTATCAATTTCTCTACCTTTTCCAAAATACAGTATTTTTAATGGTAACATGCTGATATTTTCTTTTTTATAACATTTGTTTTAAAATTTACCGAAACATGATAAAAACTAGTACAAACAAAACTAAAAAGGAAGAGAGAAAAAAGAAGTGCAGGAGGCAAAGAAAACAATAAAAGAATAAATATATAAAAAATAGTACAGACAAGTACAAGTACAATTTCAGTAACTAATCACCCTCTCTGATGTAACAACAAAAAACCCTCCTTCTGCCATAGCTCACCTCTTATCTATAAGCAAATTTTAAATCCATATCATTTAGTCCTAATCAGCAAAAGTCCATTAAGAGTGACCAAAAACAACATTTTAACCTTAATAAAATAAACCAGATTTATTTTCATTTCCTTTATTTTTAACACACTTCCTTTACTTTTCGTGATTCTGTTATGTTGCTACAATAGCCAGATTCAAGTATCAGGTGTGATCGTATTTTATGTAAGCCCATGGTTTAACCTTGGTTTATTGAATAAGTCACAATTGATAACATGCTATATGATCACATATAGCATGTTATTTACAAAGAGGAACTGATTAATGCTGACTAAGATTTGAAGAGCTTAGCTTCAAGATTCTTCGGCCATGGAGGCAAACTGTCTCTCAATCTAATGACCTCCCAGAGTGTCTATCAAAGAAACTAAATTGAGCTCTCTATATGCTACTTTGACTCCTAAATTAAAAGCAAGGTACACATTGAATAATTAAAGAGGTAAATTGACATTTAAATGCATCATAGTTGAGATTAAACATATTTTGGGGCCTAGCTATAATAGTACACTTAATGAAGTGAGCACACTGGGTAGATGGAGACACACATAGTGAAGCATAGAAAAAGATGTTCACTGTAATCGAAATAATTATATTTGATTAAATATTTCTGCCAGCTTTTGAACTGTAATGATTTATGAGTTCCAAACCATTCTCCTTTCCTCTCTTTTATCCACTTTTAAAGAAATGGATAAATGTTGCCAGGGATGTGCGGTGGTGGTGGTTGTAGCAATATCTTCAAAAAAGGGGAAAAATGGATCTAGGAAATTACAGACCTATCAGCCTGACCGCAATACCTGGGAAGATCTTGGAAAAGACATTTAAGAAATGGCTAAGAGACAGCAATAAAACAAAACTTACTTGCAGGGTACAGAGAATGGAATCCTTAAATCCAGCTTAACAAAAATGCAATTGCTCTGTTTGTATAACATGCTAGGCCCAGAGAGCTAAACCTTATGGCTTAGCATGTCTAGTTCACACAAACGCTAACACGTAACTAGGTGACCTACAATATTCTAAATGACAATCTACCCATCCCCATTTTAACTAAGAGTGCTGCATCAATTAGCCACTTGCTGCTTTGTTACATTACATGTAAAACTGAGGAAAATGGTTTATTTTGCCATATTTTATTATTTTTTAAAAAAGGGAAAAAAATGGATCCAGGAAATTACAGACCTATCAGCCTGACCTCAATACCTGGGAAGATTCTGGAAAAGATAATCAAACAACGAATCAGCGAACACCTAGAGGCAAACAAGTCATTACCAAAAGCCAACATAAGTTTGTCAAAAACAGATCATGCCAGATAAATCTTTTGCATTCTTTGACCAAGTGACAAAATTTGTGAACCAGAGGAATGCTATGGATATAATTTACTTGGACTTCAGTAAGGCAACCTACTACTTAGTAAGATAGAAAAATGTGGGTTAGACAGCATCACCACCGGATGGATTCGTAGCTGGTTGACCATATTCAGCGTGTGGTCCTCAACAGAACTGCATCTACATGGAGGGAAGTGTGTAGTGGGGTGGCCCAGGGCTCTATTCTGGGCCCAGTGCTCTTCAACATCTTCATCAATGATTTGGATGAGGGGATAGATGGGGAATTCATCAAATTTGCAGACAACACCAAGCTGGCAGGAATAGCCAACACTCCAGAAGATAGGCTTAAGATACAGAAGGATCTTGACAAACCTGAACATTGGGCTCTATCTAACAAAATGAAATTCAGTGTTGAAAAAGGTAAGGTTCTGCATTTAGGCAAGAAAAACCAAATGCACAGGTATAGTATAGGTCAGGAGTCTTCAAACCTGGCCCTTTTATGACTTGTGGACTTCCCCAGGCTGGCTGAGGAATTCTGGGAGTTGAAGTCCACAAGTCATAAAAGGGCCAAGTTTGAAGACCCCTGGTATAGATGGTACCTTGCTCAATAGTAGCAACTGTGAGAGGCATCTTGGAGTCCTAGTGGACAATCACTTAAATATGAGCCAGCTGCCAAAAAAGCAAACACGGTGCTAGGCTGCATTAACAGAGGGATAGAATCAAAATCACATGAAGTGTTAATACCACTTTACAATGCCTTGGTAAGGCCACACTTGGAATACTGCATCCAGTTTTGGTCACCACAATGTAAAAAAGATGTTGAGACTCTAGAAAGAGTACAGAGAAGAGCAGCAAAGATGATTAGGGTACTGGAGGCTAAAACATATAAGGAACGGTTGCTGGATTTGGTATGTCTAGTTTAATGAAGAGAAGGATGAGGGGGTGACATGATAGCAGTGTTCCAATATCTCAGGGGCTGCCACAAAGAAGAGGGAGTCAAGCTATTCTCCAAGGCGCCTGAAGGCAGGACAAGAAGCAACGGGTGGAAACTAACCAAAGAGAGAAGCAATCTAGAACTAAGGAGAAACTAATTGTTAGAACAATTAATCAGTGGAACAACCTGCATCCAGAAGCGGTGAATGGACAGCCATTTGTCTGAAATGGTATAGGGTTTCCTGCCTGAGCAGGGGGTTGGACTAGATGACCTCCAATGTACCTTCCAACTTTGTTGTTGTTGTTGTTGTTAATTGCATGGATGCAACCAAAAATGAAGTCAGCAAAACCTTATGTAATTTTGTCTGTATCAGAAAAATGTTATCAATGCAGGTTAGCAGCAGGTGCAACAGTCATGTCATGTAACATATCTCTTATATGTCCAAGCTCCTTGCTCCCAAGAAACAGGAAAATCTGGAATGCATACCTATATGCATCCAGAAAGGGGTGGCATGGGGCTGTTGACTGACCTTTCAGCCAAATGAAAAACAGCAGTAAAAAGAGTGCAGTGCAGTTTCATTCTGACAATGATGTCCTCCCATGTTTTGAAGAGACTGCAAATTCTTTGAACTATAATCAGAGTAATCCTGCTGAGTTCTCTGTCAGATGCCACAGTGGGTATAATCTAGCACCTGCTTAGAACAAAACTGGCAAGTGAGGCTAGATGCCCACAGAATGAAAAGGGAGGGCAATTGCAACGTGAGGAGGGGTGTCTGAGAAGATCAGTAGCAAAGATTCTTTCCTTTTCTCTCAGCATGGGAGCCTTAGCTGTAATGACAGAGCCACACGGCTTTATTGTTCTTCTCTGCACCACCCTATTCTATGGGTACACACTGACAGTCTCAAAGAATGAAATTATGCATGCAGATTTTAAACATGAGTCCTCTCCTTCTTTTCCTAGCCCTGCAGAAAATTCATTTTGATGACAACTCTCTTTTTTAATTTCTCAGTTATGAGCAGCCGTAGCCATAGTGAGTTTGTTGAAGGTACTGTCTGTTTCATTATTTTTTTTAGTGCAGTGATAAAAAATGCCCTTTGTATTGTAGATACACACCACTGGGAGCAGTGACAACCTTTTATTATAGTTAGTGTGTTGATAATGCAACTATGAGCAGCAAGCGTTCTCCAGGTGTGTTGGACTACAATCAGCATGTTGGGGAGAAGTGATAAGATTTGCAACCCCAATCTGTCCGGCAGAAGCCAGAAAAAGTTGAAAATAAACTTTTTGATGTGCCTTTTCCCCTTTTATTTTGTTTTAAGGCTGTGAGCAACAGCAACAAAACACTTCACAGATTATGACTACAATCACACACAAAATAAACCCAGATTCTTTAAACCATTATTTATTTTTTAAAATATATTTCTTATTTATGCATCATATTTGTATGGCTGCCAGTTTCATAAAAATAAAGTTCTGAAAATAGACCATAATGTTCTGATTTGCACACCTATCCATTTAAATCAAAATCAAATTAACCTCACTATGTCTTGGTGAGATGTGCAAACCTAGCCAATTACTTTGTAAGACATAATATTTTCTGGCCACAAAAAAGGCATAAACTGAGTTGCTAGAGAATATGCTGGAATGGAAGATGGCTTGGCAACTTCATCAGTGTGGCTTCTGATTAAAAAGGTATTTTGAGATTGACTGTATTCACCAGAGGAGCCATTTTGACCTGTACACCAATTCCAAATATGCCCAATATCAAATAAAGTTAGGGATCCATTTCTTATTTATTTGCTTGCTAAATTTATTTGTTAAATTTATTTGCTGCCTTTCTCACTGTGGGGCTACTCTTAGATATTAATGTCCTGATTTCTATTGAGTAAGTAATCAGCTCAAGAATGAAACCTTTATTGTATAACATATAATTCAATGCATTCTGCAGTAGTCTTTCTTTCTTGATATTACACTTCATTTTGGATGAAAAAAGTCAAATAGTTTTTTGCTTGTAATATTGATATCCCAGATTATAACTAATATTGATATAATTTTATTTTTGTTTCCAATATTGTAAGTTATTCAAACAACTCTCAATAATTTTAATTAATATTGTATAAATACCATTGTATCAAAACGATATATTAAATCTCACAACAATATAATAAAAAGGAAAAAAAGAGTAATATGTACTATTTAGTAACTTCACTTTCTCAGCACTTCTTGCTTATTTTATGAAGGGAGAAGAACATGCCTCAAAATAAAAGGATTAACATTTGCAATAGTCTTGCATGACCTGTTGCCCCCTCAGCATCTTCGACTACAAGTCCTGTAACCCTAATTCTATATGGTAGTGGTAATATGGAACACAAGCAGCTACCAGGTGGAGAAAACTAATAATTCTCTTTAGAATATTTCCAACACTTTGGACTTTTTTTTCTCTTTCCTTGGAAGTATTTTCCTTGCTTCTTCCTTTTCACTTGTTATGCTTCTGTAAACTGCTAGGAATGAAATATTCTGTTATCTGTGCTCAAAGTTCAGAAATGATGTGTATCTATTTGAATTCATATCCTTTGTAGGAAATATTAACTCTGCTTCTTGCTGATGCTGTCACAGAAATCTTGATTTTAACTTCTCCCATGGGAATAGAATCCTAACACTTTTAAATTAAATTATCTGAAAATGTATATTACACTTCTTAATATATTACTCCTTCTGGCTCTAAAAGCAAATACCTTTTTAGTATTGCTGGAATTAAAAGTAAAGGGATTCCTTTGTGACATTTATAGAGCAATATTCTTCGAATAGCACATCTCGCTAAATGTTTTAGTGATCGTGGTGTATTTGCACATGCCTCAAAAAGGGATTCGTAGAAAGTTCTGTATGTCTGCAAAGACAAAACAAAATATGTTTGGAGTTAATATCTGTCCTCCATGCACAAAAGCATTGGAAGAAAATGTTCCAGGCTTTGCCATTATCTATTGCAGCTACCTTTTAGTAACTGTAAGCAATATTGCTGGAGCCAAATGTTTTTAATTTCTAGACTCTCTATCTCTCTGTTTAAATATATTATTTTCTTTTAACTGAATGTGATGCCTCCCAATTCAGCAAAATAGATCTGCCCAAGAACAAATATAGCTTTAGATACAACTGAACACATCTGTGAATTTAATACTGATAGCACCGCTACTCCAGTCCCTCGTTCTATTTTGGCTAAACTTTTGATTTTAATACATCTGCCTGGCAGTTTTCATTAAACTTTTGTTTGGCCCCTTTATTTTTTAACATTGACTGAATAAGAGGAGGAAGGATTTTCAAAATGGCTACTCACAAAGGGAGACAAGGATGATGGAAGAAGATGGGCTGAATAAGTTTGTTTTCACATATCTAAGTTCTGCTGGACCCTAGAAAAACAACTGAGTGGTTTTAGATCAACTATATTTTTTTGGGCTGTCTAGCTGACATGTTCACTAGGCAAGGATCAAATTATAGGAGAGAATACAATGTATATTGTTTTGAGTTCCTAGAGTTTAAAAAATAAAAATAAATAAAATAAATTGCATAGAACCCTACTTTTATTTCAGGCTGCCAATATTTGTCTCCTGCTAAATATTCCTTTTAACAAAGATACTAATAAGATTCATACATTGTATTTTCTTTAATGATCAGTTTTACTTATCTCGGGTTCAAAGCTAAAAGCATGGAAACTGAACCACTCTGGCTAGCTTTATACATCATACTAAGCTAAAATAATAATTTAAAAAAACATTATAGCCTAATGCAATGAATGACTTCACTACCCTAATATAGTTGTGTATTTTTAAACTACTTACCTCAAAGATATCATCAGGTATAGCTGTTCTCCATTTTGTTGTCCACCTGATATGCTCATATGTATTCACAATAATCTCAACTGCTCTGGGATAGGAATAACAAGCTTGCAACACCTATAAGCAGAAACATATCACTACCCAATAGATGTCACTGTTCTCCCGAAAGCCATTTTGTGGCCTTTAGGAGCATCTGTAAATGTGAGGTCAAAAAAGCTGAGAGGGTCACCATGATCTTGTAACTGAAGCTTTAAATCTGCATTGATAAGTAGTGAGTCTTGATTACATGGTCAAGGCCATCATCACGAGCCTTTTGTCTACCATCTGGCCCCAAATCTAATCTTTTAAAAATACCAACTGGTAGGATCATTCCAGCCTTAAACAATAGCTCTTTTACTGGGGAAAGATACTAGTATGTTCCAGTTCCTGTATAGCAAACTAGCTGAATGATTTCTCCATTGATGTTATGTCTCTGTGTACAGGTAGTCCTCGACTTATGACTACAATTGAGCCCAAACTTTCTGTTGCTAAGTGAAACATCTGTTAAGTGAATTTTACCCCATTTTATGACCTTGCTTGCCACAGTTGCTGTGAATCACTGCAGTTGTTAAGTTAGTAACACGGTTTTTCAGTGAATCTGGTTTCCCCATTGACTTTGCTTGCCAGGAGATTGCAGAAACTAATCACATGACCACCAAGGGACTGCAAACGTCATAAATATGAGTCAGATTGCCCAGCCATCTGAATTTTGATCATGTGGCCATGAGGATGCTGCGATAGTCATAAGTGTAAAAAATGGTCATAAGTCACTTTTTTCAGGACTGTTGTAACTTTGAATGGTCTCTAAATGAACTGTTGTAAGTCAAGGATTACCTGTACTCTGAGAACCACAGATCTTACACCTGGTATATAATTTAGCACACCGAAGGGAATTTTTCCACTACTCTTTAATTTTATATTGCAGCTTCTGTTCCTGATTACGCTTGTTGTGGCAAATAGTCCCAATATCAGGAATCTGGCATATCTACACCTTTCTTCATACTTCTGTTTGCAAAATGTAGATTCATATACACATATGTGTAAAAAGTAGCCATGAGTAATATTCAAAGTATGGAAAATTGTTAGAAAAGGATGGATTCTTTGGATTCTTTCACTGAATGCCATTCTGACTGATATTTCAATTAAGATGTTGAACTGGGCTTAGGAGATTCACGTTGCTGCTAAACTTCCTTTAACTCCTAGCCCCTCAGGCCAGTTTTCTCTTATAAGTGCCATGCATTTCTTGCATGTAGAAAATACATCTATATATAATCCATATATAAATTGTTAGCAGAAAATTTTAGAAAGATACTAATGGAATAAGTAATGAAAGATGTGTCATTACTGTCTTTCAATGTACATTTTTAAGTATAATGAAACCATCATGGTTATATTATGGAATTCTTATTCTATAATATAATAGGTGAAAGTTTCTTAAAGTCTCTTATTTAACCCATGTATGTTTGTTTCCCAGGATGCATGCTTAAGAGAAAAAAAGACATTTCTGACACCTTAGCCATTATAAGTTTTTTTTTCCTGCTACAGTGCCTGGCCTGCATTCTGATTTAGAAATAATAACTATTGACCTCTTATCTGACTTTACAGGATCCACATGACAGACATCTTATGAGAACTTGCAATATCATATTCCAAACCAAGGAAACATCTCTAGGATTCTGTTGTTCTGCAATCAGTTATTTAAACTGAATTGGACACGTTTTAAAAGATAAACCTCCATCCCATCCTGTCAGTGGCGTAGCGTGGGGGGTGCAGGGGGGGCCGGCCACACCGGACGCAACATCTGGGGGGGCGCGCTCGCACTCGCAGCTCTCTGCCCCTGCCTGGCTCACTCACTCTCTCTGCAGTGCTGGCTGTGCGAATCCGATCCGAGCCGCCGGGTCGCCGCCCACTGTGGAGGGGGGGCGCAAATTACTTGCCTTGCCCCGGGTGCTGACAACCCACGCTATGCCACTGCATCCTGTACATGTATTCCTCTACATTAGAGATGGGGAATGAAGACCCCTTTATAACTTGTGGACTTCAACTCCCAGAAGCAACTCCCATGGCTGGCTCAGGAATTCTGGGAGTTAAAGTCCACAAGTCATAAAAGAGCCATTGTCCCCCACCCCTGCTCTACATCATACACTACACACCATCTTCCCTTTTTTACCTTATGGAATTGTGGTGGATATATCCTGGCAGCTCCGTGATTCAGAAGCAGCTGATAACAGATGTCAGGCTGAGCACTAGGACGCACGTCTGTCACTTTCAGGACATATTGCAGGGGGGCACACCCATTATCATCCATCAGGTTGGCTTCAGCACCTGCCTCAAGCAACATGTTCAGTAGTACATGGTCACAATTCCAGGCTGCCTTGTGGAGGGGGGTCCTGAAATCTTCATCCCGTGAATTAACATCAGCTTTGTAGTCAAGGAGCATCCGGCAGATGAGGTGGTGATCTGTGCTGTAGGTTTGTTCCTTGCCATTAAGGGCCCAGTAAACTGCACAGGACAATGGTGTTTCTCGGTGGGCGTTTGCACCATCAACTACAGCTCCTTGTTCCACGTAGAAGGCAACCATTTCAGGGATGCCACAACGAGCAACGGTATGAAGGGGCATTTCTTCGTCTTGATTGTTTGATCTTATATTTATGTCTGCACCTGTTTGAATATAAATCACAAAGGGGGGAAATGGAATGGGATGGCACAGTGTCAATACTACTACAGTAACAAAAATAAATCATCATGAATATATAAAAACCTCAGCAAAATCTCAAGAGATGTTGAAAACTCTTTAAGAGTAAAATTATGTGATTTTTTTTTTTTAAATCAAATAGTTTTTCATTCAAAAAGTCACTTTTTTTAATAAGGAGATTCAAGGAAACGTCTCTGAATATAGCATTAAAATCTAATTAGATATGAGTATGGGAAGATGAATTATCTTAAGGAATATGGACATTCAGAACTTTCAAACTTAATCCAAACTGATTTGGATTTAGAAATCTACAGACTGACAATGCAGATGCAAAATCATTGGCATGATATGTTTTTGTCTTCTAGCTATTAGCTAACTATCCTGTTACCACATTTGAGCCTGCTAACATTTCTGAATATTTTTAAAAGTGGATGGTTTGTTTGTATGGCAAACAAAAATAAACTGAAAGAAATGGATAATGTTAAGCAATGCCCTGACTTCCCTCTCACAGTGACTGGAGGCTGGTAAGGCTGGATCAAGAAAAACAGGCTGAAACTGTATCCTGGCAAGACAGAATATCTCTGGGTTTTGGGTTATTTGGTGCCTGGAGAATTGCCACCTCTAGTCTTGGCTGGGATGGTACTGCCCCAGAAAGACCCAGTGTGTAATCTGGGGGTTCCAATAAAGAAGAATATTTGGGGGTCAGGGTTGAAATAAGGGATATTGGTGCTCTCTGAGCTTGATGGTTTTCTCACAGATGTTTCATTACCCAAACTAGGTAAGTGTTCTGATGATATTATCGAGTTTGGATGATGAAATGTCTGTGAGAAAACAACCTAGCTCATAGAGCACTAAAGACACCCCCCCCCAATCTGAGGGTTCTTCTGGTTTCACAGCTCCTGTTCAAGGAGCAGGTGACAGTCATGGCCTGAAGGGTTTTACTCAATTGCAAATTGTGCACTAGTTATGCTCTTTCCTGCTCACAATCATTCATACCTTAGTCTTGATTACTGCAATTACTTACTCTATATGGGGCTGGTCTTGAAAAGTATCTGGAAGCTCCAATAAGCTTAAAATGCTGCGGCCCACAGGTTTTTGAGCAGGCTCAGATGTGCACAGATAATCTCTGCTCAAAAGCTGCATTGGCCGTTGATTTGCGTTCAGGTACAATTCAAAGTGCTGGTTGTCACCTTTAAAATCCTACATGGCTTGGTGCCAGTTTATTTGAAGGACTGTGTTTTTCTGGTCACATCTACCCAGCCCATCAGAGCATGGAGGCAAAGAATGTTACTGGTCATCTCACCTAAGGAGGTACATCTGGCAGGACCCAGAAGAAAGACCTTCTCCGTGGTGGGTCCCCCTCTTTAGAACATCATATCCGCAGAGATTAGATCGACTTCCACAATTGTGCAAAGCTCTGAAGACCTGGTTTTGCCAATAGGCCTGGGGAACCCATCAAGTGACTTATTTGATTGGCTGTTGTTGCCCCAGGGGTAGGAGTTATTGCTTTTTATTGTTTGTCTATTGGGTTTTTATTTTTGTAAGCCACCCAGAATTACTGAGAGTGAGAGAGAGGACATGTACATTTTCTTAAATAAATAAAGGTACTATAAGTCATATGGAGTCTCCTACAAGAACTTTCTTTTAGTGGCTTTTTCCACTGACGTAACAGTCCCATCAAGTGGACAATCCAAGCCTGGGTAGCAGAATTATTTCCCACCTTGTCAGCTTTGTGAAAGCTCCATTGTTATCACCTTAGTTTAGGATTACCATTGGATTGGGTCTGCAAAAATCCAAATGAGCACCATAACTGGTTTGGTGAAATGGTAAAAGTTGGGAGACCGTGAGTTGTAGTCCTGACATAGGTACAGAGCCCGCTGGGTGACCTTGAGTAAAACCAGTCACTCTACATCAGCCTTAGGAAGAAGACAATGGCAAACCATTTCTAAAAAAAAACCTTGCCAAGAAAACTGCAGGAATTTGTTTAGCAAGTTGCCAAGAGTGAATACTGATATGGAGAATTATTTTCTAAGCCAATGTAGAACATGATCTGGGGCAGCTCCAGGCCTGAAAGACCTGAAACTACAGGGAATAAACTGTAGTTCATTTCACCACCAGGTGCCCATCAACAAAGCAAGTTGCATGAATGAGCAATTAATTACAAAAGGGAAAAATACCCACTCAAAATCCAGGTTCCAAATCTAGATTGCTCTAGTGAGCAGAATAACTTAGAATGAAAGAGAAAGCAGTTGGGCTGCATCCAAACAAAATAAAAAATCCCAGATTAGGGTGATTCCAAAATTGTGTGCTAAACTGCACATATAAGTTGATAAATCAATCCAACTAATATGACAGGAGTAACCAGCTAAGATTTCTTTTATATGATCAGAGGGCCTAACTAAAAGGTTGTCTACATTCTACATTTACAGGATACTTCACAGATACAGTCTAATCTAATAATAATAATAGGATAAATACATTTGGCAAATGTACACAGATTGCTTGGATTTTTTTTTCCTGATTATTAATAATAACAGGAGAAAGGAAGAACTTTATTAACTTTATGAAAAGTAAAAACAATATCATTAATTTGTCCTCTGTCAAACTTAGTAAATACTATTTATCAGCAGGAAAATCTGTGTTAATATGTACATTAATACTTTTAAATATATTCAGTTCCCTTTTGATCTAATAATCCATCCACTAAAGAAACTTGGATTCAAGATCATACATCAGTGGTGGCGAACCTATGCACGCGTGCCAGAGGTGGCACTCATAGCCCCCTCTGTGGGCACGCGCACCATGCCCTGGAAATGGCAACTGTCCCTCTTCAACCAGCCGCCTGCTAACTTGCCGAGGTCCCACATGGCCGGATGCATCCCAGCATGGCTGGTTTCCCTCCCCCCCATCCCATCCCTCCTGGCCTCACATGCTCTCCTTTTCCTGGGCATGACCCATTGCATCGCCTCCTCAGCTGTCGGCTGGCCGTCCAGCTCAGAGGTGGCTTCTCTGAACTGCTGGGGGCAGGCTGCGGAGCCCCAGAGTGCACCGGTCGACGGGCCAGCAGACTGTGGCTGCTGACATACACTGTCGGCCCCTATGCGCTCACTGGCCTCTGTGTGCGGGGCCAATGGTGTCAGGCAGCAGCCGCCCCAGCCCCTGCTTCGCCTTGCCCTGCGACAATAGCACCTCCGCCCTGCCTCACCTTGCCACACCTCGCCCCTCAGGATGAGCCTCCTGCTCACTGCCCACCTGCCAGAGACCCCCTGGATCTCCCCCAACCCTGCCCGGCCCCCACAGGCATCCCTCCCCACAAGCAACATCGATGTGACCACACCCACCTTGGCCACACCTACCCAGTCTGCCATGACCACAGCCATGCCCATCCAATGGGCTATGCCCACCTGGCACCCGGCAATAAATAAGTGGGTTTTGGGTTGCAGTTTGGGCACTCGGTCTCTAAAAGGTTCACCATCACTGTCATACATTCTCCTGATAGCATGATAGGTATTTTTTTCCTTCTAATCTATTTTTTTATCACAGGTTTGGGGAAGATAGTACATTTTATATTCTATTCTTTTCATTCACCTAGTGGTTTACTATTTTCTGCAACAAGCTTCAATCCATTTTATTCATTAATTTTCTTAGAATTACTTTTTAGAAGTTTATTCCTGGGAAACTGATCTATAAACAACCTTGATGAAAAAATGGAAAAACGTTTCAGTCCCCTAAATCCCAGGAAGGGAGCATGGTGGCCTAGCAGTTGAGACGCTGGGCTTAATGACCCAAAGGCTGGCAGTTCGAGACCCAAGCACTGCATGACGGAGTTCTTGCCCCAGCTCCTGCCATCCTAGCAGTTGGAAAACATGCAAACATAAGCAGATACGTAAGTATCACTTTGGTGGGAAGGTAACAGTGTTTCATGCATTTTGGGCATACAGTATAGTCATGCTGGCCACATGACTACAGAAGCATCTTCAGACAACACTGACTCTACCTCAGCTAGGAAACAGAGATGAACACCGCCCCCCTAGAGTTGGACATTACTCGAAGGGGGAAAACCTTTACTTTTAAGTCTCAGGAAATTCTCAAAGTAACTGAAAATTGACAAGTTAATTCTATGTCTGATGATCTGAAGAAGTGAAGATAATTTCTCCATTTTCAGTATCATTCTATTTATGGTGCTTGTTTTCTTAGTTTTACTTTTGCTTAGCATTTCACATACCTGCAGAGAATATGGGAAAATGTAGACTTTTTTATTTTATTTTTGAGCAAAATATTTTGCAGCACTTGATTCATCTCTGGTTACTGCTATCTTCTACAGTTAAATATTAACATTATCAGAACTCAACACAACAGCCTTGCAGCCTTGTACAGCCTTGCAGCCACACAGGCTAGAATTGATGGAATGCAAAGTTCAAGCAATGTGGAAATCACACTTTGAGAAAGGCTAGCAGCATTAAACTCATCTAAGTTAACCAATAATATTGAGCTGCTAGTGACCGAGAAAAAAATGGTGCCCTCCTTTTATTAAAAGATATATTAGCAACTGCCTAGCAGTCAAGTTTGTTTGACTGTTGACAGTAGGCCACATTCAGCTAAATTGTCTGAAGACAAATGACATAGCACACCCACAGTTTTGCCTACCAACTGGAAGAGGAGTTACTACAGCTGTCCCGATTCACTTTATATGTCAACTGAGGCAGCAGCTTCATTTTGTCTTCTAATGGAGCAAAGTCTACTACATCATTAACTCATCAAATTTGCACACACCAAGCTGGCAGGAATAGCCAACACTCCAAAACAGGGGTGTCAAACTTGCCAGGTCATGTGATGTGTTGTGACAATTCGTGACTTTTTTCCCATTGCCGGAGCTGGGGTGGGCATAGTTTCAGCATGACACATCTGGTCCATGGGCCAGCAGTTTGACACCCCTGCTTCAGAAGATAGGCTTAAGATATAGGAGGATCTTGACAAACTTGAACATTGGGCATTATCTAACAAAATGAAATTCAATGATGAAAAAAGTAAGGTTCTACATTTAGGCAAATATACAGGTATAGTATAGGGGGTACCTTACTCAATAGTAGTAACTGTGAGAAGGATCTTGGAGTCCAAGTGGACAATCACTTAAATATGAGCCAGCAGTGTGCTGCAGCTGCCAAAAAAGCCAACACAGTGGTGGGCTGCATTAACAGAGGGATAGAATCAAGATCACGTGAAGTGTTAATACCACTTTATAATGCCTTGGTAAGGCTACACTTGGAATACTGCATCCAGTTTTGGTCACCACAATATAAAAAAGATGCTGAGACTCTAGAAAGAGTACAGAGAAGAGCAACAAAGATGATTAGGGGACTGGAGGCTAAAACATATAAAGAACAGTTGCTGGAATTGGGTATGTCTAGTTTAACAAAGAGAAGGATGAGGGGGGACATGATAGCAGTGTTCCAATATCTCAGGGGTTGCCACAAAGAAGAGGGAGTCAAGCTATTCTCCAAAGCACCTGAAGGCAGGACAAGAAGCAAAGGAGAGAAGCAACCTAGAACTAAGGAGAAACTTCCTGACAGTTAGAACAATTAACCAGTGGAACAACCTGCCTCCAGAAGCTGTGAATGCTCCAACACTGGAAGTTTTTAAGAAGAGACTGGACAGCCATTTGTCTGAAATGGTATAGATTTCCTGCCTGAGCTGGGGATTGGACTAGAAGACTTCCAAGGTCTCTTCCAACTCTATGATTATGATTGTGATTGTGACTATGACTATGATGAACAAAACATGCAATTTGATAAACTAATTTGGAAGGATTGTGTTCTTGAGGAACAGAGGTAAGGAGCCTAGTGTTATGCTGCCTGAAAGCCAAAACCACAGTCATGTTTTGAAAACAAATTTAAGAAGATACCAGAACTTATTCAATGTTCCTATGCAACGTTTGCTTGTATCTCCATCATCATCCATGCATGTTCCAACAGCTTGAAACTATGACTGTTTTTATGTAACTTACCTTTCCAAATTAATTGTTGTGCACAAGACAAGGAGATCTTTGTAGTACAATAATGCAGGGGTGCAAACCCACCCAATGAATAGCAGTTGGTTTTTGCTCCATGGCTACAGAGTATATTGACACAATCCAGATTGGCAACTTCACATGCTATGTGGATTGCTGCTTTCCCATTGGGTCTGCAGTTGATGGTTGCTTTGTGCTTCAGCAGAACTCTCAGACTTTCCAGATGTCCGTACAGAACAGATAAATGTAGTCCTGTTGCCCAGGAATGCTGCAATTTATAACTAGGCAGCCAATAACCTGTTTCAGTTGAGAAACAAACAAAAGTGATTAAATGATAGCTTTCCAAAATCTTCAGTTTACTAATTAGTACAGAAGGGATTAGCTTCTGTTGGTTGCAACATTGAATATAATTATACTCACTATGCAACTGAATATATTTTATGTGTTTATACATGTTTTCCCTTAAGCAAGTTCCGTGTTATTCTGCTGCGCACAAAGAGCTCTTATGTGCATAGAGAAATCTCATTTCCTAAAACTGGAGACATACATGAGGAGATCTTCATGTTTAACTATTCTTTCCCAGTGAGAAGGAATAGTATGCAAATGAAACAGCAAGTCAGCAGAGTAGGAAGAGAAGGGCTCCATCCTAGAGAAACACAGTGGTTTACTATAGAGGGGCAATATTTATTCCTCATCCCAGAAAAGACTGTATAAATATTGTGCAGCCTAGTAGTTCTGCAGAGTTATAGATAAAAGCTATGTAAAGAAATGAGTGCATTCATTCCTTTAAATCTGAGAAAATATTTCAGGTGGGTTGATAGTAGGAATAGGATTTTGTTTAACTTGCACTGGAATGTGATCTTATCTAATTTTGCATTATTGAACCAAGATCAACAACAAAACTCAATTATCTTTCAAACTGTGCATTTTGCCAAATTTTGTAGGGCAGCTAGCCATAGCTTATGGGTTCCATTAGATGAGAAATGTTTATACTGTACTCATATTATTAATATTCAAAAATGCATTATTTTGGGGGAAATTGTTTGCAAAACCTGTGTGCACTGGAGATTATTGCAAGCAGAATATTGTAATAATCCACAAAGAATACAGGTTTTGCAAGCAACTTTGGAGAAGATTTATATTAAACTATGTATAAATTTTGGTACTTTTTTAAAAATAGAAAGTATTACAACAGTGAAATTATTCAAACATGGAAGAAAAACCAAGAAACCAAAATTGATTATTAGGCAGTGAGGCAGTGTTCCACCATCATGATGAAGAGGTAGGCTATATAATTTACTACCCTTTGGGATAACACTAGGCTTTCAATTGCCAGTCAATACAAGCAAAACTAGACTGATCAGTAGTTGATTTCCAATCCAGTATCTTAAAGCATCTGAATTTTGATCACCTAGTGTGAAAAACAGCCATAAGTCATTTTTTTCAGTGCCTTTGCAATTTTGAATAGTCACTAAATGAACTGTTGTAAGTCGAGAATTAACTGCACAGCACAGGCTTTAAGGTTAGATCACTGTAAGCAGACTTGTGTCACATAGGTTTCTCCTTAACTGTTAAATAATACTTTAACTGAAGTAAATACCGTAGTATGATAGAAGAACTATTATTTTGATTAAAAAACCCTTCCTCATAAAGAGAGGCTAATTTTCTCCAACCCAATGGGATACTAGAAAAAATAATGTAAGAGGGGTCAGAATTCTGTCTGGCTATCCATCAGCAAGATACATTTCTGAAAACAGAACAATACATATTCGATATGGTAAGAAAGGCCAGTGGAAAAAAAGGTTTGAGCTAAAAATGGGCCAGATCCAACTGAATCAGGCCAAGGTAGTTGAGTAGCACCCCAGAAGGTGGGTGACCCTCCCTCCCTTCTTATTACATCACTTAAGTGACATATGCAATCTGCTGTGTTTTCCAAAGCTCATATCCTACAGTATTTTAGGAATCCTGTATATAGTATGTGTGTATCCATATGAATAAAGGCAATACTCCATAATATATTATAAGAGTACCTTCAATTATATCTATTCTTTTTGCTTCTAGAGGGTATATGCAGCATGTTAGAGCACATTGTGTAATCATAGTGAAGTTGCTACTTTCTATTCTTGCCAGATTTTCTTTGTGTACTCTGTGAGTGTGTGTGCACGCGCGCACATGCCTTTGACTTCTGATGACTGCCTGAACAAATTCCCACAGGTTTTTTTGAAAAAATTTCAGAAGTGGTTTGCTATTGCTTTCTTCCTAGGGCTGAATGACTGGCCCAAGATCATCCATTTGTTTTGTGCCCACAGTGGGACTAGAATTTACAATATCTCTGTTTCTAGCCTGATACCTTAAACATTACACCAAACTGGTTCTTGCATTTCTACCTAAACTATTTTAAATATGACCTGAAGCAAAACTATTTGACCAAAGATGGGGCGCAGCAGCCAAACCAAAGCAAGAGTGATGCAAAATTTGCATTTATTGGTCACTGATATACTTTCTAATCTTTATATATCGTACTTCTGATTTTTCTAAATATTCTTCAGGAATAGCACCAGAAAAAAGATTCCTTGGGCACTCAAATTCTCTTCTGTCTTGGTGTTATCACTATTAAAAGTTCCTTTGTTTGTTCAGCTTCAATTTTAATGGTTTGCATTTTATGGAAGTTGTATATTGAGGGTGTCCTAAAATTTCTGGGTCCAACCAATTTCTTCTATGCTGTGTATATATAGTCCATAGAAGTAATTTTGCTTCAAGAATACAGCTTAATCAGATTTGATCTGAAAATTTATTGACTACAATAAGATCCACAAAGGGCAAATACTCATAACACACAATAGCTAACGTCTTTCAATATTTTACAACTGAAACATTGCCATGGCTTTTTACCTTGTTTGTAAGAGGCCAGGAGCAAATTCTCATCTTCCACTTCAAACACCGTGTCCACATCTATTTGTTTTTGAGCCAAAAGCTCTTCCAGAGTTCTGTAGTCATTTGATTGTAAAGCCTCCAAAAAAGCTTTCTTCATTAGCTTGGCTGTTGCAGTCCGTGTAATGGTTTCTCCCATGTTTTCCTCAGGGGATTCTATCATGCTTGTTTTCAGTGGTCAAGCACTGTGTTTATAAAATGCATGAACGAGTGTTTTAAGTTACCCAAAGCATGCTAGCCTGCAAGCCCAAAGATAATTTTAACACTAAGCAATGCTGATCTGCCTGTTCTATTTATGTAAAGCAAACATCAGCCACTCTCTGACATGCTTAATTTTGTCAAGTGAAACCAAAGCAGACCTATGCTGCCAGTATGAAGAAATACACTCAAGGATTTAGGTAACTATCAAAACTTTACCCATCATAAATTTGTTAAAATTAACTAAGAAAGCTCTTAAAGCGATTATAATTTCTCAGCAAAACCAGCAACTAACCATATTAATTTCTGGAAACCTAATTTCTTAGCTTGGTTTTGACACGGACAGTTATCATTTTCTCCATTAGGTAGCGATTCCATTGGTTATGTATGTTATTTTCTCTGTCCGCAATTACCCTCACTGTCCATTAGTCCATTACGGTGGATGAAAATCAAGGTGACTCAAGATTTCTGCCATCCTAAAGTGCAGAACAAAATGGTGGTCTCTTCTTTTATCTTAGTTCAACTGTAACAGCAAGATAGTAAGACAACAGAAAAAGAAACTTAATTTAATCCAGAAGGATAAGAATGTCTTCCATTGGAGAAGGCCTTCTGATAAGAAGGATCAGTTATTGAAAAGGCTCTCTCTTCTTCCATCCCCTACCCCACTTCAGTTTTTGGGACCAATCAGGGAAGGATCTTCAAACATGGTTTGAGTCTCTGAACAATTGAACATGAGAACAGGTCTTCCTTGTTGAGCAATCCAAGTCAGTAATTGTGTAGCCATCTTTTAAACAAAGTTGTATTTGTTTCCAAAATGACTTTTTGATACCTCCTGCATGACATACTGTATCTATTTACTCTGTATTAGAATAAGGCTTTCCCTGAGTGGAAAAGTAATTGAGGTAATATATTCAATGCAAAATTATAATTGTGAAGAAATGCTATATAAATGGACATAATATGTGGAAAGGTAAACTGATTGAATATAGCAAGCATAATATTTCTGTAAGTGGAAACATTATGATCCTCCATATATCTATTTTCAATCCTTCAGAGCAGCTTTGAGTGTATCGTGTGGAAGTAATCTGATGTGTAAGTGGAAATCTACTCAATACTAGAATCCAATAACAGCAAAACATAGACTTATATTTCTGTAGATGATGATGATGACTTTATTTGTAACTGCTTATATCAAGCAATGATAACTTTAAAAAAAGAATGTCTCCCTATTTCAGGTTTTGGGAAAAACTGAGAAGGTAGATAAAAATGTTAAGTCCAGTCTAAACATCTTGCTGACCTTGCTGATCATCACTATAATATTTCTGTGACAATTCCTTTAATGCCAGGAAATAACATCTTATCCCAGATCCTTGTGAAGGACCCGACAGGTTGACAAAAAAGCTAAACTGAGTCTAAACATTTGGCTGACTGTGTGACAAACCATAATAAAGATAATAGCAACAGTAAAAACACAGCATCAAAGATATACAGAAATATGTAAACTCTGCTTTGAAATATGAAATAATAATCAGTTGTTGATTATCCCAAAATGAATTGGAATATTGGGTGTGCCATTTACTACAATGCAGGCAACTAAGCAATTTTCTGTGGAATTCTGGTTAGATTATTACTGTAGGCAGGTAAGATGGAGCCTTTTCAAGCACCTGTCATGTGAAAGAAGGACATTTCTCTCTTGTGGGCAAATATAGAACATCACAGCAACTGAATGGTTTTGTTGTATTGCACCTGCTAGTTTATAAATACAATACGTAAATGGAGGATAAAGCATCTGAATTATCTTCCTTCTCTCCAAGTATTTGGCTATGAAATTTTGGAATATTTACAGTACTTTCTGATTTTGTTCAGACTCAGGTTTGTGAAACTAATCTGATAGTCCAAATGAAGCTGTTGCACAATTGGAGCTCAAATTGCAAATGGCATAGGTCATATGTTGTTTTTCCTGTCTCGCTTCTTTTTTTAAAGTCTGTCACTCAAATTACCCTCTCTAAAGTTTGTTTTTCCCTCTGCCCCCTTGACACTTTCAACATTGCTGTTACCTTGGAATGTATTGCAATAAGGGGTAAATAGTACTGTAATGCTGGTATAGTTAAAGGCAATTTAAGCTTGTCTCAGTTAAGGGTTAAGAACAAGTAGAAGAAAACCCAAAAGTGCTTTTCGCAAAGGGCAACTAGACTTCCTTGTGGGGGTTTTTTTCCATTGAAAGCATTTTGCTTCTCATCCAAAAAGCTTCTTCAGTTTTCAAATAAAAAAAAAAGTTCAGTTGCCTTTTGGAAAAAGCACCTATGGCATAACAATGAGCTGGATGTTTTGAGAATCTCCATAGACAAAATGAACACAAAATCATGAGACATGGCTACACTCCCCACCCCCACGTGATGTTTCAAGGTTTGTTGCAAGTAGAAGAAAATCAAGTGTCTCAGTAGAGCTCCAGGTTTTTTTTTATTATCATTGGCCAAATGTCCAGAGATGGAAGATCAGGCTTAATATTGTTTGAGCCTCAAAAGTGTTTGCAACAAGATTCATAATCTGAGAAATGGCTTTATGGTCTATTTCCACAAGAAGCTTGGTTGAAGGAGATATGAGACTTTTTTTTCCCCTGTGGTAACATCAGAACTGTTATATTTTCTCTAGAAAACTTGGTCTTCAAGTTCTGAGAGTAACTAGTTCAAAAGAAAGTTTATATTTTATAGTTTTGGAGAAGAACTTATTGAGAACTGCTTGAGCATTAAAGCTACCAATAACTATAACACACTGAGTTGTGGACTGGGGCACTTCAATGCTCATCACAGGACATTTTTTACTTTACCTTGAAAAGCGCAGGTAGATACAGTGTATCTTCCTCCATATAATACTTGTATTTATGTACATTTAGACATAGAGGTTGAGAGAGTAATTCATGATTATTATCACCCATGACATATGCCTTTACAAACCTGATTGTTAGAAATTTTAGTTTTTCCTGTAAACCAAATATGGGCAACTAGAACAATTGCTCTTCTCTTAGCAATAGCTATACATTCAGAAATTATTGATACTGTACTCCTTTTAAATTACTGATTAAATATTGTTTACCATGTACTTTTAAAATTTGCTATCTTTTATTGATCTAGGACTCTACATAAAGAAACACATACTTCAAAATTCACAAATTGATATTTAATTGAAAGCATGTGTGAATTTATAAAGATTTTTCCCTCCCCCCAAAGGAAGAGGAGATATAAAAATGTAGGATATATTAACATTCGTATAACATGAATAGTATTTGAAGACTCTTCAATACTTTGAAAGCAACTCTGGAACTCTATGAATCTATGACAGTGGTGGCGAACCTATGGCACGGGTGCCAGAAGCGGCACTCAGAGCCCTGTCTGTTGGCACGTGCGCCGTCACCCCAGTCCTAGGCCTTCAGCTGGGTTTTATAAAATCTTTTCGCTTTAGGCCTCTGCCGCCGTGTGCAAAAAAAAAAAAAAAAGGTTCAATCAGTCAATTTCAACTTCTCACGGGGGAAAAAAAAGATCTTGCAAAGTTGGAATTGATTCATTGAACTTTTTAGTCCCACCCAGTCTGCTGTTACCACTGCAGCCATGCCCATCCAATGGGCCATGCCCATCCAATGGGCCACACCCACCCGGCACTCGACGATGCATAAGTGGGTTTTGGGTTGCAGTTTGGGCACTCGGTCTCTAAAAGGTTTGCCATCACTGATCTATGACATATTAAAGAGCTGAACTAATTTCTGGCTTTACAATAGCATATCTGAAATCCCAATTAAACTTGTATTTTATTTGAAGTGTTATACTGCAATTTTGTGAATCTTGTGGATAGATTTGAGCTGTATCCCATTTGTGGAATTCTTGCTTTATTCTGAGGATTTTTTCCTGTTTCTGACCATCCTTCAGCTATCTAGTCCAGCCTTGCGAAACTTTAAAATATCTGGATTTCAAGTCCAGAATTCTTCAGCTAGCATGCTGTTCCCCTTTGTGCTGGGACTTCTACTTGTTTGTTTGTTTGTTTTCATAGAATTGAACATATTCCCATCATCTGAAAAAAAGGACTTGAGAATTCAGTTTATTTCCATTTAGAGTCCAGTCACCATGGGGAAAGTTTTTGTGGATCAGTGATTTTTGCTCCTTGTTTTTTGTGCTGCTTTGAAGACAATCATTGATCATCTTCTAACTGCTGTTGATGGGATTGGAATAATGTCATGGAAGTGGTAGAAGACATAAGTGTCAAATATGGCCTTGCTATTTTAATTTCTTTGGAAGAAAAAAAACTATCTATCCTTCATCTCATATAAAGTTAGTCCTCAACTTAAAATCATTAATTAGTGACTGTTTGAAGTTACAACAGCACTATTCATGAACATTTGGTCAAAATTTGGACACTTGGCAACCGGGCATGTATTTATGATGGCTGCATTGTCCCAGGGTCATGTGACTGATTGCCATTTTTGACCTTCTCAGCTGGCTTCTACAAGCAAAGCCAGTGGGGGACCTGTAATTTGCATAACAATCTCATGATTCACTTAACTGCAATGATTCACTTAGTAATTGTGGCAAAAAAGATCGTAAAATTGGACACAATTTAACCACCTTGCTTAGCAATGGAAATTCTGACACCAACAGAATTGGAAAACTAACTTTATAGTAAAGAGCACCAGCTTTTGGAACCTAATCAAGAAAGTTAAGAGCCAGGACATCTATGGTGTTTGAGTGTGTAAAGATGGTAGCCATGATTGCACCATCAAAACACTGTATAAGTTGACATCCCTAGTTAGGAGAATAGCTTTCACTTTTTTCTATCCCAGTTTTTCCAGGTGCAGTATACTATTCAAATGCAGAAGCTAATTTTATCCTCTTCCTCCTCTTTTACTACTTCTGATATAAGCAATAAAGCAGGGGTGTCAAACTGGCGGCCCGAGGGCTGGATGTGTCATGTGCAGGCCATGCCCACCCTGGCTCCGCAAAGGCAAAAAAATGTTGTGATATATCACAATATGTCACGTG